AAGAGGCTTTTGTGACATTGATTGGAGAAATTCAAAATATCGTCGCAGTATTACAGGGTACAGTTTCCAATTGTATTGCCAAACACTTCAATGATCCCGTGAAAAAACAGTCGGGTTTTCAACATACGAATTGGAATATATGGTTGACTATCGAAATTCCTTATTTAATTATTAAGCACCATGATTAATTCAAATGAAAATGAGCAAGCCACTATCGTGATAATCAAGGTACCATCGATAATACTAGAGAGAAGTGAGTACACTTATCCATTTAATTGAGGTGGGTTGGTTCCACTTTCGTCCATATGATGACATATTAGTCGCCATACAAGTTTGTCAATGTTTTTGTTGATAAAAGAATAGACTTCTGGCTGATGGACATATACTTCACAGTCAATCGGCGCATTTAAATAGGCGGTTTTTACGTCCGTTCTGTGGATGATAAATTATGTTGAATAGCATTAAAGTCCTTACAGACGACAAACACGTTTTGGGAAAGAAACTTTTATTATAATCTATTCCAGCTTGTTGCGAGTTTCGCAACAAACCAAAGTTCGAGCAGTACATTACCAATCTTATTAAGTTTAATAGTGTAGACCTACCGACTTCCAACGAGAGTTTCGCCTGTTGAGAGTGTAGTTAATTCATATTGTATCATTCATTTTCAGAGAGTTTATTTTTTTGTAACTTCGCAATATTTTATAGCCATTTGAATAGCTTCAATATAAGTATTGTGCATGTGTTTTACTGAACAGCATTCGTCGGATTTACCCGTGTCCAAATTCTTAACGTAATGTTTTAAGTGTTCAGGCATTTTTTTTGTAACCTGCTGGGGTATCTTCTGTCGGATATTTCTGCACTAGGATTATCTCTCGTATTATTGTCTAGATTTTCTGATTGTGCAATTTGATTTTGTTTGCCTCTCCACGAGGATTTCTCTCCAAATAGTTGAGAACTAATGTAGCATTTTCTTCCACTGGAAGTGAAAAACTGTTAGATTTAGTAGGAATTTCAGACTTTTCATTAAATCTTACACAACTGACTTTTTTTTTAACGTTTTTAGTTTCTGGCATAAATGTTAAATAGGCAGGACTTGGATTATCATAGCCTATGAAAATTGTCTTTTCACATTTAAAGTCCACTTTGGGCTAAATATATGCTAGGTTAGGTTTACGACCCTTAAACATTTCGAACGCAGTTTTCCAGGTCTTTGACTGTAACACAAATTTCTAATGTATGTAGATGTCATAACAGCGTAGGACCAAAATAAGTTTGGTAGTTTTGATTCAATTAATAGAATTATCCCCACTTCAAGAACTTTCTGCAGAACTATTTTTGTATGTAAGAGTATTTGGGTCACGTCCTTGATAATATCTTCAGTGGTGTGATCATAAGGACAAGCATGGTGGGAGGAAATTACAGGTCCATAACTATGCTAAACACATGCTAAGATTTTGGCCAGAGGGTGCGTTTGCAATCAGTTACCGAGATTCTGTTGGGATCGAAGCAGACGCGTGTGCTGTGAAGAAACAACGAATTCAGAGCAACCTGCATCTGATCCACAGAAGACGAATGGCGTAGAAGACGACGAACAAGCCGCGCTGATCAATTTGGATCAGTCCAAGGTATTCGATAGGATCAACCATCAGGTAATCCTGCAGACTGCAGCTCGACTTCTGAAAGTGGAGGAAGAGCTCGAGCGAGGATTTCTACATACGCCGATGACGTATCCATTTTCATGTCGTGTCGTAGAGACGTTGAAGTGGTGCAGAAGGGGCTCCAGTACGTGAAGGTTACGGAAGCCAAGAAGTCTTCCGGTTTGGGGTGGGTTCTTGGAAGGACGTTTCTCTTTCAGGCTTAAGGGACTGACTGTACCGTCTGCTTTCCTAGAGTGTGGTTCGGGCTGGATCTTCAGCTGGAGAAAAATTGGTCGGATGTACAGGCAATCGTAGGTGCAGCGTTCCGCACTTAGTGAGTCTGAGACACGGGGCTGCTATTCCTATGCCTCCCATTGACAGAGGGACTACTTGTGGGCGAGGAGTGTTAGTTACGCATTCTCTAGCCTTACTATCACTCCTTTCCAACCCGAGGATGAAGATCAAAACTGACAGAAAGCAATTGGTTTCGGCAGATTTAAGCAAAAGGTGGGTGCAAGTTGCAACCCTGATTCGCATGAATCGGCTAATCTTAATTTACTTTTTTAGTCCTCTAAAGTTACAAGAGGTCGATTCCTGACAGGCCCTATCCATGGTTATGTTACACTCTTTTTTTTGTTAACCTAGTTAATGTGAGTGATGTAATGTGAGTGATGTTTTCGTCCTCATCTCGTCTTTCTCTTTTGCTATGGCCCTTATCAATTCTTCCCAGTCTTTTATCCTCTTTCTATCTTGACTGGATCAGAGCCTTTTATATTTTCACATTCTCACATTTATTTGGTCTCTTTCCCGCCTTTAGCGAGCGAGCTTGTCGGTAGAATACAGTGGCCACTCTTATTTTTGTGGGTTGGATGAGAATAACTAACAGAATTTGACTTTTGATTTGAATTCTTTGTTTTCTTTTATTTGATTATTGGGTTCACCCACTCCTCCGTTATTTCATATGTAATTTTTTATATATATTTGTAAAAAATAAATAAAAATATTTGTACGCATTGAAAGATTGTTATCATCATGTGGGGTTTTATTAGGTCCTTTGTGAAAATGGGGAATGTTAAAATTGGATAGAGAAGGATGAGTTCTTGTGATTGTGTCAGTTGTTAGAATGAATGGGTCGCGAATCAGATTTGTTTTAGGACAGACAGTGAAGACCAACCTTTCCTCACATCCCTTTCGGCCTTGTACTCAATACAAATGTAAATTTGTAAAATAAACATTCCTATGCAGATTAGACCCAACAGGAACGACGTTAGAATAATTTACAACTTACACTGGAAGCAAACCGCCTACCTAAAGATAGAAAGTGTTAAAAATCTGAATCTCTTGAATCAAACAACATAAAAAAATAAAAGTATTTTGGTAAATTTTTTAAACTTGAGAGTTAATGACTGGTGTTCTTGTTGGCTAGTGTTATAAAGGTAAAAAGTGATTTTCCAACATTATCTTTAGTGATTCAAGCGAACTATCTAGCCTTCTTAAAAGATATCTTAATGATCCAGTGAAAAATATTCAGACTGAGATTTTGTTTTGGTATGGGGTGTTTTCTTAACAGAAGGAAATGGGGTTGCATTAATAAGGTGAATATATATTCAGATGATACAACGGTATACGAGTGTATTAACAAAAATCTAGATGACCAGAGCTTGACAGTTAATATCTCTTCTGACCTACCTTTAACAACTCAATGCGGGAAAACTGGCTAGTCCTATTCAAAAACAAACTTGTACGTTCCATTGTTACTGAGCAGTCACTGAATTTCCGTCTATCACAATGAATGGATGTTCTCTCAAGGAAGCCTTGAACGCCTATTGGGACTTAAATTCAACCCAAATATCAAGTGGAACTCGTATATACGATCCATCGTTATAAATGCAGGAAAATGGTCGGTTGCATGTACCACTCTATTAAGAACCTGACTCTTGCTATGCTTTACCTTTAGAAAAGCCAGAGCAGGCTGAAAATAAAGCCCTGTTGACATATTTGGGCTGATGTTACCGAGTCTTCACTTTCCAGTTATGACAGATCGTCGACGCAGCCATGTGGGTGATGAATTGTTTTCCACCGTACAACCTCTTTCCCATAAACCGCTAAATCCATATAAAATATTAAAACGCGCAACATTCTACTTAGTTCCTTCAACTTTAACCTTTCTAGCTGAGGCCCGCCATTCCGTGTATATTGAGGCTAACCATCCTTATTCATTCCCTTCGTATTCCATTAGTAATGATTAAGTTCCACCCGGATAGCTTCTCCCAAAGATATGTGGCTTTAGTGGAACAGAATCCCAGGGGGATGCTTTCTTGACCACTACAATCTTAACCTCTTCAAGTCTACGAATAACCAATATCTTTCCCCCATATCCACATTAGCAGTGCTCTGTACTCTTAGAGTTCACACAACAACCGCCTTGAGTAATCATCTACCCTAAGTAGCCATTGGATCTTGTATAGGTTTAACATTAATTAAAAAACTTAAATGTTAATCTTTGTCTCAGATGCTTATAATTTGCGTGTGTTATTAATTTAGAAAACTTAAACAATAAAAAAAGATTAAGTCTATTTGATTGTTTGTACAGGTGTGCATGCAGTATATATATATATATATATATATATATATATATATATATATATATATATATATATACATGAATTATTCACACAAAAACTAATGCAAAGGTTAATGATTTAAATGGCGAGACATCCATCATCGTAAACAATTCAAATAATATACAAAAACCTCCGTATCCGTTATGAATGAAATGATCCTTGTTTATATAAATTTCTGCCGTATTAGTTCTTATTTTACTACAAGCTTTCGTCTGTTCCTACAGACATCTTCAGGTATAGAATAGATGTTGTTCTTGTTTTTTCTCTTAGTAATAAGAGGACAACGAAAATATATGTATTGTTGTATCCGAAAATGCTATTGAAAATGAGTTATTGTTTTTGAACGCGCAAAAGCAACGCTGAGTTTGATTTTAAATTTAAATCATTAACCTTTGCATTAGTTTTTGTGTGAATAATTCATGTATTTGTAAATTGATTGCACGTTTATCGTAATATATATATATATATATATATATATATATATATATATATATATATATAATCCCAATTGGTAGGGATAATTCGAAGAGAGTTCAAGTAACAGACCAATTTAATAATAATAAGTAAAAATCCTTAAAAAATACATTTCGGTTATAATTTATTTCATGTTTTCTAAAAAACTTTGGTCTGAAATAAATTATAACCGAAATGTATTTTTAGAATTTTATTATATATATATATATATATATATATATATATATATATATATATATATATATATATAATCACAATCGCTTACCTTTTTTATAATGGGCGGCACTCGTGAGTGTGAACCGTGGAAATAAAGATTGACCACGATTACGGACAAAAAAACGTGGACAGGGTAATAAGGACCATATTCAAACAGTAGTAGGCGCCTGCAAGGAGAAAGTAAATGAAGGCTTCATGTAGACGTACTTTCTTTGTTTCTATTTGCATATAATAATATCACTTGGTCATACTACCAATGTCAATAAACAGGTGGACACAACGCCAAATGTAACATAAATAGGATGTTTTTTGTTGTAGTGGGAGAAGCGGAAAAATATATATATAGAGAGAGAGGGAGGGAGGGGAATGAAACGTGTATATATATATATATATATATATATATATATATATATATATATATAGATAGATAGATAGATAGATAGAGAGAGAGAGAGAGAGAGAGAGAGAGAGAGATCTTTATAGTCTGCTGTGTACTCAAAAAAACAGAAACCTGGGATTAATGCTTATTTGTGACTTTATACATGCGAACTATGTTCAAATCCTCATAATTATTTGCGACTGGATTACTTGCAGAGTTGTGGCTTCCTTTAATCTTATTTTATCGAATATAAGAGACATATCCTATGGTCTCAGCAACCATAATAATCTTAATAATAATTTCAGGCTTTTCTTATGTAATCATGTCGCTGATTGTTGGTTGAAATACTTATGTATTTTTCTCTGGTGCCCAGAAAAAAAGCTATAATTTGAATATTGATTTTCAAAGCGGATTAGTTCTTTCTAAATAACACGAATAAATGAATGAATAAAAAGATCTGGCACAACTTAATTTTTTACTCTTTCATTATTACAATTTTTTGTCATTCCAAACTTAAAACTCTTTATTACATACTTGTTATAAATATCTATGAGCCTCTGTTTAGCGGCCACAATAGTAACAAGTTTATTCTGTTAACTACTGTAAAGGAACTCGATATACGATGTCCAATGTATTAACACTAATACAATTTGTAACGGAAGCTGAATGATTCACTGATCAGCAAAATAATCAGTGGAAAATAATTCATCACCACCAAGGACGCGGAGCTCAATGCACGAGACCTCCGTGAGAGAGCGCACGTTCATCGCGATAGGTCAATAGTTTGGTTTTCGAGGCATTGAAGTCAGTCCAGCCAATTGAGTTACTAAAGTCAGTTTCCCTCCCACTGAACTGTTAAAGCCAGGACAAAAGAGAGATAAGGTGGGCCAGAGATATATTACTGCATTCGTATTTTTGACACCTTGATATATTTAGCAAAACTAGTAATCTCGAAGTGCACATGTACTAAGGAAATCAATAATGCATTGTGTATTTTTGTTTTTTAAAATAAAATTAATAAACTTCTAAAAAACTGAGAAGATAATAAGACGCGTAAAAGAATTAAATGATAGAAACTTGGCTGCATTTTTTTTAGTTTAATTGATAAACATTTTAACTTACCAATGAGAGGAATAGCAGACGCTGCCGGTGGTGTGGACTCTGCTAGTAAGAGTAGCAAGACGAAGAAGGCAACAAAAATATTCATTCCTGTATGAAGCAAAACGAAAAAATAAAATTATATTTTAGTAATATTTCAATAATCTGTTTCTTTTTTCAAAATCAGTTTCGATAAAGATACGGAAAAGCTCAGCATTTTATTCTTTATTGTTGAATGAATGTCACTGTTTTAATGTGTTTGATTACCTCCACCTAATTTTCGAAACTGCTCGTAGGAGACGCTCTCAGGGCTATAAATACACGGCGATAAGTTTTATCACTCTCTTCTCTTCAGGAGACGCATGAACAACACATACACACGCATACTTACGCACATTCATTCATTATACATACTTTGGACCAAAACGGTTTCCACATTCATTTGTCACACACATTATTCTCTTGTCGCTTGTGTAACTTTGTTGTTAATAAATTATCATTTGTTTGTATATATATATTGGTTCTTATCGCTTCTTTTTCTTTTATTTACGTGGACTCACATCCCGCGTCTGCCATGTTTGTTGTGAGCATTTCAGGAGACAACGTGTTATTCCCAATTTCAATCATCGACGTTAGTAACGCCCGAAACAAGTTGGGAAACGCGTAACTGGCCCGCAACATATGTGACTTAATCCCTAAATAGGTGGCGTTTTGTAACGAAAGTGACACTGTTAGGTAAAGACAGACAAGATTGTTGTGAAACAATTCCATATACACGTGATGAGTTACTTTTCGTTTGCTTATCACACACACACACACATGTATGTATGAACCTGTGAATCGAATCGGAGATCAGAGTCTCTAGCTTTTGAAAAAGAGCGATTGACTTTATAAACCTTGTTAAGTATATTGTTTAATATTTGCATTTACAATCGACTTTTCTGCTCAAAACTCGATTCTTAAGAAAAATAGTAATAAAAAGTAATAATATGGGGAATCAAAATTTAGATAAAATGTTCATTAATTTAATTATTTTTTTTTGGTGGGGAATCGAGACAACGATAAAATGAATTAAGGAAATGCGATCTATCTTTTTCTTTTACTTGGTCCCCATGGAAATTAGAAATCGTTCAATGCTTAAGGCCTTTTTGTGCGAAATATGGGACGTTGAGAAATGTCAAAAACTTGTAAAATCAAAAAAACGGTAGAATTAAAGTAAACAGAGCTTATAATTTGGTTGGTTTGACATTAAGGAGAAGAAAAAAAAAAAGGATTTTGTATGCAAATTCAACGAAGAAAATAATTGCGAAATAGTTTTAAGTATGTCAACAGAGGCGTTTTAATTTTACTTTAGAAATTCTTTATAAATTAAAAAATATCAATAGATTTGGCGTATTTATAACGGAAGTCAAGAGCAATGATTATTCTTTGTAATCATATTTAATGAAAAATATATTTAGACATTGATGAAGCAAGTAGCAGTAAATATCCCAAAAATTGTTATAATTATTTATAGGTGCTGATTTCTACAAATGTTGAACACATTTTTATTTATTCACACGTAAATATAACAAGAAAAGTAATGTATGAAATAATTCCGACAGTTGTTAAAAATTAAATATAAAACAAGGCATTTAATTCGGTTACAGTAAAACCTATTTGGTCGAATGAACTAATCCTTTAAACGAAAATTGACAAGAAAGCAGATGATGTTCAAAAATAAACGTTTGTTCTGTAAAATAAAGGCAGTTTTTATTGTCACAGACTAATTGATACACACGCGCGCGTGTGCGTTTAAAGATGTAAAATATATCTGAAGGAATTTACTTTCGTGTCTCAATTTACCAGATGAGATGCAATGGGTGCTCAGTGACGATGGATCACTGAGGTAATCACGATCAGTGGTTACTAGTCCATCAAGCTGACCAGAAAATAGCGACAACAGGTGGGTTCAATTGGTTACTGGTTTCCTTTTGGATCATTGTTCAACAAAGGTCCACCCGCATTGCTTCATGTTCCAACGGGCAGAGTGTCATCAATGGTGGACAGAAACTGTCTAGGCATTACAAAGATTTAGATATTAAAGAAAAAGATGCATATAGACATATATAGCGTTCAAAGCATAACTAAAGATTACAATCTGGATCAAGTGAACAGCTTCACCTGGCATGTGGTATTAGTGAGACTGACAATGAGACAATCTCTTTCAGCTAAAAGTAAAGTGACCATTTAAGAGACAAAATAAATTTAGCGGTATAAGTTTTAGTCAGTAGTGATATTGTGGTTAACCTAAAACGTTTTGACAATAAATCAGACAGAAGAGTTTGTATACATCAGATTATACACTGTAAATATAACCGAGATACAAAATGTTCAAATAAGGAAATTGAAGTAGTTTACGAGAATATCATCATAGAAAGAGAGAACACAAATGATACCATTTTGATAAATGATTTCAGTGTAAAAATAGAAACAGTAAAAGGAAGCATTTAGTGTAGGAAAATTTGGAATAAGGAAGAAGCGAAATGTCAGTTAACTTCCTAGAAAGACACAAAATGACAATTATGAATATATATTTTTTCAAAAGTGTACAGGCCATAAATGGACAGACCCAAACGGAGAAACACAAAATTAAATTAATTTCAGGATTGTCAATAAAGTCAGTACCGGTAAAAATATATTCGTTACTAAAACAAATTTAATATAGGAAGTGATCATAGAATGGTAATTTGCAGAGTCACTTTTGAATTTATTGAAAGAAACAACAGTATTCTCCGAAAGAAAAATATCCTAATAAGGTTCGATAGAACATCATCGAATTTCAAGTAGAAATCAAGAACATATTCTAGGTTTTGTGGAATGAGGTAAATGACATAGAAAATATGGATAAGCAAATTGGTTAACTATAATTAAGGAAGCAGTAAAGATAACCGGGAAAAAAAACGGAAATTGCAGTAAGAAATTGAAATAGTCAAAGTCAACACGAGAAACGATGTAAAAGAGGAGAGATAAGAATGAAAATGCAAACTAATGAATAAGACGGATAAAGAAATATGAACTTGGATGGGATAGAAAGAGACGAAAAGGAAGATCTTAAAAGAGGCTTGATCTGTTATTTGCTATAGATAAACAATTATTAACAGTGAAAGGCAGAAACAGGAAAGTTAACATATGTTGGACCAAAATAGATAAACAAAGAGTACTATGCAAACTTGAATGCTTCTAAAATATATAAAAATATACCATTGTAACAGATTTACTGATGTGGATTTTGCCAGTAAGTATATGGTGGTTGGTTCGAATGAGAATTTTGGGGGTTTTAATTTACTAATTACTGTAAATTACAAGTGGCTCAGATAGGAATGTAACAGAGTTACAGATGTGGATTTTATAAGTGAGTGAATCTATACCTGGTATCAGTTGGAATAGGTGTTAATTCGAGAAGCTGATGTAAAAAGCATAAATAAGCAAGTAAAGTAATTTGAATTTTAGTAATTTGCCATGGTATATAACTTTTGTAGTGGGTCTTTAGAGAAACGAAAAGTATTTAATTGAAATTGTCTGCGTTTGAATTCATGAATTAACAGTAGGATTGAGTGAAATAAGGAACATCCACACCTCATTTCAATCATTGCTAGAAAAATGAAAATTGACATAAAAAATCTTGCCTTAAACTAATTCGGATCTTGGCCGAAATTCAAATTTGGAATTTCTTTTCAGCAATTTCTTCCTTTTTGCTTTGATTTTATATTAACTTAGGAATTAGATCGATGCTGACCGTATGAGACAGGAGGGTGATGTTATTTTTTGTTACGATGCACGTATGCAAATCAACTTGTAACCTGATATTTTAAAGGGACATATTCCCTATATGTACGAATCCCACCAGCTAGTGAACAGTACAGGGTAATACGCAGTCAGAAGCGGCGGGACAGTTAACACAGGTATTCAAATACTAAGCAGTTAGAGAAACAGGAAATGCAAACAGACAGTAGGTGAGTTGGAACCACTACCTCTCTTCATCACCACTCTACCACCCTTTGCAAGATGCTGTTCGAGAATAATTTCGTCAAATGAAAATATTTCCCCAGACTACGAGATTTTGTTTTCAAACCGATGAAACAAAGATCGATTTGGAGAGCAGGTTTTGGAAACCAAATCTGTCTGTAGGCCGAAAACCAAAATTCCCTGTTTGAATTGTGGAACCGACTACTAATGACCAGTCCAAGGAATTGCTGGTGTTGTTGCGGTATGCGGGAAAACTCAGAAACCGGCAGTAGTTAGGCTGACCACAGCATCGCAGAATTAGGGAGGGTTAAACTGATAAATTTAACCCATGACGAATAAATTCTACTTTATTGTTTCTACAAGGAAGAGTCGGTTGTCGTTTCTGAAAATCGCTTCCTTTTTTACTTTTCTAGTATAACTCGTCTCTTTTGCTTCTGATACAACTTAAGCGAAACCTGTTGCAAAACCGTTTGGGCATAAGGCTAGCAACTTAAATCCTGTAAAATCTTACTTGCTATGGAAACCATAGCGGCAATGCCTATTTTTTTTTTTTCTTCCTCCGTGAAGTCTAAGGGATTAAAGAAGGTGCGATAAAAAAAACACAACGTAGTGTAGGGAAGATCAACTGGCGGATATATATATATATATATATATATATATATATATATATATATATATATATATATGCAGATATGAGATAAGAAGAAATAGAGTATAATTCCACTGTCTGTAGAATTTAATTTAAAAAAAGCGCTCAATACAGCGTAGAGCTTAATATTATTTATTATGAGATTAAAACAAAACATGTTAAAAATCTATGTATGTATGTATGTATATTTATATATAATATATAAACTAAGATAATCCTAAGGAACCAGACAAACCTACCGAGGTTTCACCTAAACGGATCTTCAGGGTAAAGCCGGCTCTTACCCTGAAGATCCGTTTAGGTGAAACCTAGGTAAGTTTGCCTGGCGCATTAGGATTATCTTAGTTTATCGTTCTACTTAGTGTATTGAGCACATTACGTCGTTGTGTTTTTACTCATCTTGGGTTTTTTCTTTGGACTTGGAGCTTAAACACTTGGTTGTTTTCTACTTGTTTTAATGTTATTGGTTCTTTCTTTTTTTAATTCCTATTTTTCCTCTGGTAGCGATTTGTTCTACTGCAAGTTGAGCTATCCGAGGTTTTTCCAAGCGAGTACTACCACACACACACACACACACACACACACACACACACACACACACACACACACACACACACACATATATATATATATAATGACTTGCAAGAGTGACTATATAATCTAAAATGATGAGATGAAAACTAAAACTACGCATGTGTAAAGACCACTATAATGTGGGCCCGAAAAGTTCTTGGACCCGAGCAAAAGAATAAAATAAAATAAAATAACAAAATAAAATAAAAAAATTCTGAGAAGTGGCTTAGTCCAAGAACTCTTCAGTATTCCTCGGAGATCTGTGTACGTATGTACATGTGTGCCAACGATAGGGTCTTTGGTTTTGACACCAGAAGTCTTGAAACAAAATTGCTATTTTTGTAGTGATTTTATAACATATGCTATAATGTTTATATATATATATATATATATATATATATATATATATTATTGACAGTTTCTGGCTGATGTTCCCGACTGGTAGTTAGAGTCCGAACTCTTGCGTAGCCTCTTGAGTGGTTGCTCTGATCAACAGTTGCACAATATCGAGATTCTTGCAGTGCCATGTAACTCATGAGTGGGTGTTCCTGCATGCACCTCGGGTGGGCAACCCTAAGGTCACATTATGCTGCTGTCTGCGCCAGTTCCTTTCTGCTCATGCCACATGTGATGACCGATTGCCTTTTCCTTAGCAACGTAACTCAACATGACCATAAGCAACCAAAAATATAAGCCTAAACCAATTCAAAAGATCACCTAAACTCTTTAACATTTTCTTCTCCAACATCCATGGTATTCGTACAAACTTCTTCGGTGTGGAATCGTTCCTTTTTTGATAAGTTTCTTGATATACTAGCTCTCTGCGAGACTAATCTTAACTCGTCAATCTCTTCCTCGGATTTCTCGATTCCTGGCTGCCTTCCTCTCCTTACAAAGGACTCTAAAATCTACATGCCTGGTCTGGGATTGTATGTCCACGATCATCTCTCGCTGGCTAGAGAACTCTCTTTGGAATCTCCAGACCATTCGTATATGTGTCTCTGTCTATCTCTTCTCAATTCAGTAAGCTATCTCTTCTTTCTCTACCATTCCCCTTTCTCTCAAGACTGTTATGTACTCGATAGCATTTCTGATAATATAGACAAAGCCATCTCTCTATATCCGTTTGCAAACATATTTGAGTTTGGTGATTTTAACGCCCACCATACCATGTGGCTTAAACACTCCGTAACTGACATCGCTGGCATCCAAACTTGGGGTCTCGACTCCAGCCACTTTCTCACCCACGTAATGTGGCTTCCCTCTGTCTTTTTTATAAATATTTTCATGGCATCTGTTCTGACGATCTATTTCCACTGGTGCCCCGACTGCATGAATTTAAGCGTGCTACTAGGTTGGCATCTCGGTCCCACTCTTTTACAGTTGAAACAGTTAAATCTAACCGCTTCTTCTACTACAACAGCTTCTTCTCTCGCACTTCTCGACAGTGGAACTCTCTTCCTCTTACTTACTTTCCTGATAACTATAATCTTCAAAAATTTAAGTGTAAATTTAATTGATCCCCGTTCTTTTTATTTCTCCGTTCTTTTTATACTTTCCTCAATCCCACCCCTATATCCAGTGTTTTCCCTTACTTGCACTTTCTGTAGACCCCATGCGTACTTGTGGAAATCCCGCCTTGCTTGGGATGAATTGCTTATATATATATATATATATATATATATATGTGTATAGAGAGAGAGAGAGAGAGTACAAGTTCACAATTAATCTACAATTATTGGTTTGATTGATTAATTTGCTTTTTTTATTGTTTATTATGATTTTCAGATTCTTTACACAACCTGCGCACCTAAGCTTACAGCACCTGCTATTCCAAAGCGGTCACCCATCTAGGTATTGACCAGGCTTGGCGCTGCTTAACTTCGGTGATCGTGTGAGAAACTGTGTCTCAGCGTGATATGACTGTAAGCCTATAGTTGTTGGATAACGAAATTGGCAAATAAATCGATAAATGAAGCATCATCAATGTTAATGAAGAAACGAAAGAATATATATGTCCATTTCGTATTCTCTCTCATATTCAGTTATATAAATGTATCTGGCTTTATGTTGAGTTTCAGCTAACTTCAGCTAATATCATGCTAAATTGTTCATCTATGTCAGGCAATGTGATTTTGACTCAGGCATTTGAATAAAGTCTGATTTAATTAAAATTTTAGGTGTCGCCGTTAATCGACCAAAATGGGGAAAGTTAAATATAATTTTGTTATCCAATTCAAGATTACCATTTTTATTCCTACTCTATTAATTATTGCTAAAAAGCAATGATCCCCTTTTGCTTTTTGACATTGAAACTCACGCTGAAATGTTTTTTCAGTAAAGTGCAACTATATATATATATATATATATATATATATATATATATATATATATATATATATATATATATATGTGTACCTTCATGACGTAGGAGATCATGATTTTTCTTTGTGAAAATAGCTGGCTGGTCACTGACTCTTGGAGTTCATCAGCTTTTGGCAAATCTTATTAATTCTTACAAGTGAGAGAAAGCAGACCTAGTACTCGACCACAATTTATGTTGAAAACTATTTTAAAATATGGTCAAATATGTTAAATATAACCAAAATAGATAATGATATTGAATACAACAATTTGAACATGAGCTTGAAACTGAACATAATGAATAAAACGCATAACAGAACGCACACACACACACACACACACACACACACACACACACACACACACACACACACACACACACACACACACACACACACACACACACACGTGTGCGCGCGCATATGTGTGTGTGCGTTTTGTGACATACAATGTTATGTCTGTATTTTGTCTGTTACTTTTGGAAAAGTTATTAACATTCCAAGTTTTAGTCTAACATTCCAAACATTTAATTGTAAAAATGAATAAGCAATCAATAATAAATTTGTAATAAAACTATTATGCTTATTTATATATGATAATACACACACGTACACACGCACGCGAGCGCACAAACACACACAGACGCACACACACACACATATGAATTTTATGCAATCGTCTATAAACATTTGTGTACAAATACCTATGTACATATATGTGTAATATTATCGTCATAATATGTATGCACAGAAGCATATGAAGCATTTTTGTTAAAATGTTCAGGTGTTTACTTGGTACTGCGTCTATTTTTAAGTGCAAATGAGATGACTGTCTTGGAGAAAAGTGGGATAATTGAAATAAGGCCAAATTTGTAGTTGATGTTATATTTTGGGCATATACTTTTTTCAAGCCAATGCACTTTTTACGCACATAAACACTCCAACGAAGAAACACATACACAGAGACAGGTATATAGACAGAGCACATTCTTACTGTCCCTTACGAAAAATACACCTACCTACCTACCTACCTACCAACTCACCCAGGTAAATTGAATTACTGGTACACCGCTTATAGTGAAATAAAGGTTAGTAAACTCGTCTAACATTTAGTTATTAAATCGTTTGATTCTGTAATGGGTTCCTATATTTTACAAATATACAATTAACGTCATATGCAACCAAAAAATAGATATACTGTATATACATAAATGCAAACAAGATTCTTTCGAAATGTAACTTGTAAAAAACAAATGTACTTGAAAGCTTAGATGTTATCAAATTGCTTTTCAAAGCCGACTTTTCCATAGATTTTTCTCACACACTATTATCCCGGTTCTCTTTCGTGTCTCTCAAAATCATTTATTTATTTTGTATGCAGTCATAATGCATTTCTCTCGCATTCTGTCAACAATGGATTTTCTTAGAAGTACTCTGTACGAAAATGTTGACCTGGTAAAGGCTCCAAAACAAACGTTTGTGTTAAAAATTAGACAAAGGTTACCTTTTAGATAAACAAGGTGTTCATTGAATGATGTGTATTTTTTATATTTCTTCATCTTTCTTGGTAATTACCAGATTTAGACATTTAAATAATAATTTGTCCATGTTTTGCAGTCATTCCATCGCCATAGTTCTTTGATGATTTAATCATTAAACCACGCAGCTGTTTTAGTTCCATATTTAGACTATATATAAATCAATAGACATAGGTGTCCAAAATTGAAACAGAAAAATGACAGATTTCTGTATTTAGATTCGATTTATTCACCATTTTTCAACTCCCAACAAATAATAAAAATTCCTAAAATGTTATGTTTTTAAAAATTTTATTAAACTTGACTTCAACATTTCAATCTGGGAATTTCAAATGTATTTTATTCGTTTTTGTTGTTCTCATATTTCTTTATATGCCATTTATTTTAAAAGTTTTATAAAAACGACTCCACTGGCTGAACAACATAGAATATTAAAAAAATCAGTCACGCCTTCCTTTTGATAAGTCAGTATTATTTTGGCCTAGAATATAAAGTTATTCCCGATATTATTTATAGCCTTGAAAATGTAAAAATATATTTTTATTAAAGGATTGTGTTTTTTGACCGAAATTGACGTATAAAGAAGAAAAATGAAAGATAGAATGCATGAAAAATATAGAGAAAAACTTCCAATGAAATTTTATTCGCATTTCATCACAAAAGGATTATTCCAAATTATTCATATTCATAAATTCATAATTATTAGCTTTCATTAGCTATCACTGCTTGGATTATTTTCTTGTTACAGTCGAAGATTTTCAGCAAACTGACAGTTTTATGCTTTGGTCTCAAATTTGAATTTCGTCATGGTCTCATCCACTTTAATTGGGGTATCAGTCCCACTGACTGAAAAAAAATTCCCCACCCCCCGAGAATGCACCGTGCTTCAATGTTAGGACGTTGATCTTTAGATTTAAAGTTTCATCCTGTAATTAATAGATTAATTTTTTGTTTTATTTAACTAAAGAATTGGTAATCAAAACCTGGAATCTTTGTCAAGATGATACTTAGCAAAAACTGAACATGGAGGAATAGAATCTTCTTTGACCGTCTTCCATGGAAATCGGTCTTATGCAAAATTCACTGAAGTGTCTGCCGAAATATTTTGATATTGGATTCTTTCAAATCGTTCCAGGCTTCCTTGGTGGTGATCATCGGATTATTCTTGACATTTCTGAGGCTCTTTCTTACCATACAAGGTAATACCTTACATTTCGATTTTTGTATTTTTAGGTTTTTCATAGTGTGTACACTCTTGAATTTCTTAATAATTCTTTAAACTATTGAAACTAGTACTTGAAATTGGTTTGATATAATTTTTCAGTTTGAATCTTAAATATGAGGTTCTCACTAAGTTCTTTAATCTTAATCATGGTGATTGATTTACTTCTGATGAGAAATGATAAAAATTCCAACTGTTGCTCTCCATTTTAACTTCAGTCCCAATGCCACACTATTGTATTCACCTTGTTTATATTCATTTTAAAGGCAGTTAAGAAATTTACAAGGGAGAAAACTCAAATACCTTCCTTTATCATTCATTTCTGTTATGTAATAATTTTCAACATGCCTTTTGTAATCAAATTCCAAATAAAACTTCAATTAATTTTACTTTTTCTCCATATTTCTCATATGTTGATTCTTTTACACTTTTTTTTTCTTTTTTCTTTATATATCAATTTCGGTTAGAAAAAATGCATTCTTTTGATGAAATCTTTATGTTTGTAATTGGTTCCTCAAAACAGAAATGACTCCTGATTCAACCTAAAGGTCATAAAGCACGCATAAGTAGGAATTTTTAGTAAGAATTCAGTAATATCCTGATTATTTTTTTATTTAATTCACCATCTGCATATTTTCATATGCACTTGAAAAACGCTGTAAAGGATATCAATACCTGAATATAATTATTGGATGGTAATAGGTAACTAGTGAGTAGCAAAGTTGATTTTCGTTCGGCTAAACCTATAGTAAGAGTTGAAAGGAAATACTTACCCAGCTGCATTTTGGCTGGTGACTCCGGAGGTAGCCAAAACAGAACCATGGTGAGAGAGGACAGTAATACACATGGCAATATCAAAATATAATTGTAAAAGGCAACTTTTCTTTTTATCTTGAGCTTAAAAGTTAAATCTGAATAGGGTTCCGCGCAACACGGATAATGTTCGACGTTTTTGACAGCTGACGAATCGAGAATATCCCATTCGTTGCTAGCAACATAGTCGGTCAGCACAAATCCCTGGAAATCATTCCAAAACATAACGTCCAGTTTGTTACCATCGTAGGTCCAGGAACCAAATTTAAGGTAACATGTCTGTGAATCAAATGGAAAGTAAGTGATGTCAATGGAACAAGAACTTTTGAAGATGGCCTGTGGCATCCAAAATACAGTACCATCGCTGTCAAGGACCACCAATGCATCTCTTTTCTCTTCTAGACGTGTATCAGCACTAAAAGACAAAATTAAAACAGAAAAAAATCGTTTGAATAATAAAACGAGATTATCAGCGTTAATGTAAAAGGACTTAGTAGTATTTTTCTTAATGACATTCGAGAAAATTGTCTAAACATGTTTGTAATAAGAGAAAATACAAAAAGTATTTAGTATTCATTGTTACTTTCTCAGAGAGTTATTAACAAATGTCTTATAGAGTCGATGCTGAAAATTAAAAATTATTATGACAGAAGAAGAACAAAAGCAGAAATTGGATACATTCTGAATAACCAGTTTAAAAATTATTTATGAAATTAATGGAGATTAGCAATATTGCATAGCCAAAAGTCTTCAAAGTTTTCAAAGCTCTGCAACGAATAACTTACTTTCGGTTATTATTCCCTGTTCAAAAAGTAAAATCCAATAAATACAGGGTTATTGAAAAAGAATTAACCGACTTCATGGCGCATTGTTTTAGTTCTCAAGCATCATCATGGTATGAGTCAATGGCCATTTGAAAGAGAAGTTTTCTAAGTTTTGAATGACTGCCACAGGGGGCGCCGTAGTCGCAACGTATCTGCGGCTGCGTTCAATTGTTTATTTACCCGCAGAATAGTGAGTCCTCAGCAAAAGGTGTTCTGTGTTCTGGAGTTCGTGAAAACAAATACAGTTGTCACGGTGCGAGTGGTTTTCGAACGCAATTCGACATTAATCCGCCCTCTCCTAAGAACATTCGGCGGTGGTTTTTCAAGAGATTGGATATCTGTGTAAAGGAAAAAGTCCAGGAGGACCATGAGTTTCAGAGGAATAAGTGGTGAGAATCCGTGCTGCGTTTGAGGGGAGTCCACGGAAGTCCACAAATCGAGCAAGCCGTGAGCTTGCGATCTCTCAAACCACTATCTGGCGTGTGTTAAGAAGACGTCTACATTTGTAACCTTACAGACTATGCCTTGTTCAGGCACTTACCAAGACCTTGCTCTCTGTGCTTGGCCTGCGAGATCCCCAAACCTTACCGTGTTGTGATTTTTTCTTGTTGGGATTACGTAAAAGATCGCGCTTATGTTCCACCGCTACCCACTAACCTCGATGATATCGAATAACAACAGCGATCAACTCAGTGGATCGTGATATGCAGATACGTGTCTAGGAGGAATTCTCTTATCACATTGATGTTGCCCCTGCTGCAAGTGATGGCCACATTGAACACTTGTAAGACAGGAAATAAAAGTTGATTGTGAGTAGAATACTTGTGACTTGGCTGGAGTTTTCTATTACTTTTCCTTATTAATATATTGCGTAATGAAATTGGTTCATTCTTTTTGAACAACCCTGTATATCTTTATTTTTTTTATCCGACAACGATGTTGAAACACTTTCCAATGTTTTAAAAAGATTTTCACTCAGTTCTTTCAATACGCCGTGGAGCGTCTGTAGAAGAAAATGAATGAACCGATTTTTTTTTTTTTAACTCGGTCCATGAATAAAGTCCGGGGAAGCAATTATGCGTTTTTTACTATAAAACTTAATTCATAACCAAAATTAAATCGAACTCTTAAATCGATTACAAATCAGACGATATAACCTTATAAAGATAGAAATATTCAGAATTTCTGAAACCTTTTTTAATGATTTGAAATAAACATCGAAATATAAGCAAAATTATCATCTTTTATGATAACAGATTATATTTTTCGAAATTGTACAATGAAAATAATTTTCTTGTAGAAATACTTACTAATTGTATAATTTAATGTCAGGCATCCAGATGTCTTTCTGCGGGATTCGAACGCTTTTGATCATACCGTATTCCACTGGGTCCCATTTCAAATAAATATCTTTCCATTGCTGGAATAAAAATTAATAACTTAATAAGTTAATAACACATTTTCATTCTCTCATAATGTTAATGTTTAACTCTACTCATGCATTCAAACGCTTTTAAGGAAATGCTTTTTAGTCAAACAAATTCCTTTTTGTGTCACTTCATTCATATAAAAATATCTTAGGAAAGGCAGGGATAGGATGTTCCGCAAATAAATCCACTAAGTTAAATGAAGGTTTTAGCAAAGACAGTATAGTTCTATGGGTAGAAAATTAATATGTGTTCGTTCTTCTATGTGTTTGGGAAGAGTCTAGGAAATCTGATGGTCAGTAAACAAGGGAAGAGATAATAGTATAAAAACTCCGGCGATTAAAAATTCCTTTTCTAATCAGAGTGACAGAAAAACATACATCATGGCTTTTTAATGTGGTGCTATTTATACAGGATATCATGCCAATCTCAGTCTGTTTCAGTATATCTGAATGTATGAAAAAATTCTAAATATGTACTTGCACAAAAAAAAAAAAAAATACAAAAGTGCTACGAAGCGAGCATAAAAAGTAACGTGTGTTTTCCTGAATACGTTCATTCTTCGTCATATTAGTCTTGATGGCGACTCATTGAAAATAGTACATGTATTGTTTTGAACAAGAAAATAATTATGCTGTATTCGGAGCAACAAATATTTTGTTTTTCTTGCTAGTTAATGTTGAACTTATTTTACTCGCCAAGTTTTAAGATTTTACGTCCATTTTGACAGTTTCTCTTAATTAATGTATTTACTCCTGGATGAGATTCATTCATCTGTGACAGGAGATCGATACGACCAATTATTCGTGTACACAGAGACGTATATATACCTTTTCTGTATCTATACATGCGCGTGCGCGCATCCCCACCCCTACACGCTTATATATATATGTGAAATGAATGACAAATTGGAAAAAAATCTATGTAACACGTTTCGTACTCTAGAAGGACTAAAGTAATGTTTTTGTTTGGGGAATTATACATGTATACGAAGAAGTGGAAGATATAAAAATGCAAGCGTCGGTTATAATTATGCACCGAAACGAAACATTGAAAATGTTCTCATGCCGAAATTCTAAATTTTTTAATTAATTTTTTTTAGACGTGTCTGGTCATGTAGTCTAGCTGATTTCATTTAGTTTCCTTATACTTTTTTTTTTTTTTTTTCATTTTTATTATTAAGTATTAAAACATTGAGATCATATAAGATCTGACAAGAAAGGTGACATGCTGTAAGAAACTGAACGAAATTTTACCGTGGGTGATCTAGCGATCAGAGCACTTCCTATACACTTCCGCCTAAGTTCACATTGGTCGATTTGTTTGGAAGGTGGTTTCTTTATATTATCGCTCTGGGGCACCTTCAGAAAGTGCTTGAAAGCCATACCATGAGTAAAACTTGATCGACATCATTAGGTGGAAGATGTCGATGTTTGTACTAGCACGAAGTCACAAGTCATCGTGACCGAGGATTTGTGCGTACTGGCGTTGTTCAAACTGCACACTCTGAATCGGAAAATAATGTCCGCTCAGCATAGTTGCAATATAAACTACAGGTGTCTGCAAAACACGGGCGTGTTCGAAAAACGAATAGTCAGCCATTATCTATCTATCTATCTATCTATCTATCTATCTAATGAAAACGCATATTATTTTTATGCGTTTCGATGTCAATGCAAGAAAATGAAAAAATTACGACCCTTTTGTTGTCTTGAGGACTTCTGTGTGTGTGTGTGTGCGCGCGCGCGCATGCGAGTGAGGGTGGGTGCTGAAAATTTCTTAGCCTAAACCACTTCCCAAAATTTGACAAAATGATCGAAAATCAGATTTTTTTTTATTGGAATTCTTTTTTCATATGCCTGATGTCGGAAAACTTTTCTAATACCTGTAAGGATAATGCGGCAGCATTTGCAATTAAAGTTAGAACTCAGTGTTGATCAACTGCATCATTTCATATCTTTTGTTGATGACAAATAAAAAGTGGGTTCGGACCTTATTAATGATAAAATAAACACAAAAATTCAGAATTTTCAGGGAAATTTAATGAAATTCAGCTGTGAAGTGACAACAATATGGCATATATACTTACGCACACAGAATGTCCTGGGCTGCATTTGATACCAGTACGAGTTGTGGCAATGGTAAACAATGTTTAATATTGTAGTTCAGAGTGGCACAAGATGTTACTATGTTGTTACATTATTTTCTAATTCCAGAAAATACGGAAGCAGCAACAGTAACGCTTCTAGCAAAGTTTCTAGGATAATGTCCCTTTGGTTAGCAATCGTTATCGAAGGCATCTTTATGATATCTTCAAACTTAGTTGATTCTTTGTCACAGTGTAAGAATACCAGACCTCTGATCTATGATTGCTGTATTATTAAAAGAGATCATCCAAAAACAACAGAGAAATGGAATTGGCAAAAAATAAAAGAAAAACTGTTAAAAATAAAACAAAAATATCAACAACAGGGTGCAGTAATAGTTCATGGTCATGTAGCGATATCATCTTATTGGTAATTCGTTTTGTAATTATTATTACATCTTTTACACACGATGAGGTTAGCACGTGATGTGATTTGGTCATAACCATCCAATCTGCATCCAATTTTGGTAATGGCTTAAAAATGAACTTAAATCACAAAGATAATGAGTCATTGAACAAAAGCAAAATAAAAACAAAACATGAATGCGCAAAGGTACATAAAAAGAAAATACATCTAAGTACTCAATTATGCACACAAAATCATTTTAAAATAAAGTCTATCCATTAATGTTTCGTTAAGAATAATAAATGGGATTGCTGGTATTAGGTAAAGGATAGATATTTACTTGACTAAATCCATGTATTTTTCACTAAAGATCGTAGAGTGGCATTTTCTTGAAGCTGATCGGGTCCATCATGACATTCAGGACATGGGAATAGAGAACGTAGTCTTTACTTGAATACCGGGTGTTGATACAGCAAACTCGAACAGGTCGTTAATAGGAGTGAAGAAGGTGAAGGCAAATGTCTGCAAAAGTTGAAGGAAAAGAGACGAAGGATGGAGAACATAAACAGTGCATATGTGTGCGTGTGCGTACATGTGTGCGGACGTGCATTTTTCTAGGAAAATGAAAAAAGCGAGGCTGTTAGAAGAAAAATGCTGCAGAAAAGAACGGGATCAAGTGCAAGGAATTGACGAAGATCTTATAAAATGGTTTCGAAAATAAACACAGAAGTGTTTTCCTCGCATACCTGATTCTTAACTAACATGTGCACAAAACGACGAAAATTTACTCACAGTGACGAGATTTTTAATGACAAAATAATCTAACGAAATCATCTATGGCAGCTTTAATATAAATAACAAAATACGAATACCTAGATTATTAAAAATTTCTTGTTTCATGTATTCAACAATATATATATATATATATATATATATATATATATATATATATATATGAGTTAATGCTCAATTTTAGGAATAAAGCACATGTATTAAACGATAAAGAGATCGTTGAAATTAACACCTGGCCTAACAATTGCGCGGGGAGTTAACTTCAGTGTCCACTTTTATATTTTATGTATTAAATATACAAAAACGCATTCTTTAAAGGATCGTTTTTGACCAACACTTCATCAGAAGAATACGTTAGTACTTTCTTAGATAAACAAAATGAAACAAATTCGCACAGCGAAACCCAAGTATATAAAGGAGGGTTAAATGAGTTTTTGCATATTTAAGGCAATATCCAAATTCTGCGGTGTCATATACAAGCACACATACACACACACATATATGTATGCATGTATATATATATATATATATATATATATATAGTTTTATACCTGTAACAAAACTCACGGTGTATTTTATAAAGTGTTTAGTATTTTTTTATACTTTCCAATTATCAAATTGGTACTCTTACTTTTCAACTTCGATAAACAACTTGGAAAAATCTGTCAGTGTGATAACAAAGGCAATCTTACTTCGGTAGTGCAAAGAAAATAAGTTTTACAAAGCAACAAATTATAATCATATATGAAACTTCTACTGCAAAAACAGCTTCCAACATAGGCTTTATCAGATGAATATCTGATAAAGCCTATGTTGAGCGTCAGATCACGCATGATTACAGGGCCGAATTATCATTACCATTAACTTCTTTTTTGTTGAAAACAAAACGAGTTGAGACACATATGCCGTGATCAAGTTGCCTTTAAATACTTGCCATCCGATTTTGATAGGAAATACATATAGGTCATTCCACCATTTCACATGTATTGCTTTAGAACATCTTCGTGTTTTTCATTACCATTTTATAGAGATGATTTCAAACAATATTTGTCCATTTATATTTCTGCCAAATGATTAACAAAACCTGAATGCTTTGTTTTGGTTCAAAGGAGATATAGACTGAATAAGAGAATGGACTCAGAGAGAGAGTGAGAAAGAGAGTGAGAGAGAGAGAGAGAGTGAGAGAGAGAGAGAGAGAGAGAGAGAGAGAGAGTGAGAGTGAGAGGGAGAGGGAGAGGTAAGACAAAATAAAGAGAAAGAAACTATATATCAGAGCGAGTTGAGAACAAAATATTTATAAGTATCTTTTGAGGGAAAAGCAAAAAGAAAAGAGAGTGTTATTGGAAAATAAGATTTAGAGAGAGAGAAAAAAAATAGAGAGAATGTCAAGGAGGTGAGAAAAGAGGGAGACATATAAATAAATTTGACCGAATAAAAAGAGGAAGAAATGAGATGTGGCAAAAGTGTGGGGGCTTCAAAGGCAAAAAAAAAAGAGAAACAATAAAGAAAGTGAATGAGAAAGCATTAGACAAAAAGAAAGGGAAAAAGAATTTTTGAAAAAAAATGCAGGAAAACGTGAGTGGAATATAGAAAAAGGAAAAAGAAAAGTAGTTGAAAAAAATGAAAAAATTAATGGAGAAAAACTAGTGTAACATACTGTGTGT